ACGAGCTTCTTAATCTTAATAAAATAAAATAATTAACTTAATTATAAACTAATTAATTTAATAATATAAACGACTAAATAACCAAATATTTAAATAAAGCTAAAATCCTTTTGAGACAATTTTTGAACATTCATAAAATATACTAATTAGACACATAATTATATAAAATATCATATTTATTATTTTAAAATTTATAAAAATGACAAAACTACTTAAAATGACTTGAAAATTATTTTGAATTTTATAAAGCCAATTATTTCAAATCATTTGGAATTTAAAAAGCTCGATGATTAATTTATATTGTGGAGGTCCAAAATTGGGTGTCAACAGGGTCAACATCAACTAAGCTCTCATCAATCTGAGAATCTGGTTTCTCAACTTTGTCAATATCTTCAATAGTTTGATCTTCAAAGAACACAACATCACGACTTCTAATGAGCTTCTTATCAATTGGATCATAAAAGCGATATCCAAACTCATCTTGACCATAGCCAATGAAAATTCACTGGTTAGTTTTAACATTCAATTTCGACCTCTCATCTTTTAGAACATGCACACAAGCTTTACAACCAAACACTTTCAAGTGATCATAAGAAATATCCTTACCAAACCAAACGCTGTTTGGAATATCACCATCCAAAGCAACAGCAGGAGACAAATTGATAACATAACCAACAGTGTTAAGTGCTTTAGCCCAAAATGAATTTGGAAGTTTAGCCTCTGAAAGCACGCATCTAACTCTCTCAACTAAAGTTATGTTCATCCTTTCTGTCAGGCCATTTAATTGAGGAGTCTTTGGAGGAGTCTTCTGATGACGAATTCCTTGCGATTTGCAGTAATTATCAAAGGGACCAATATACTCACCATTATTATCAGTGCGAATACATTTTAATTTCTTTCCCGTTTGTCTCTCAGATAAGGCTTGAAACTCCTTAAACACATCAAGTACTTAATTTTTGGATTTTAAAAGATATACCCAAATCTTGCGAGAATGATCATCAATGAAAGTTGCAAAGTAAAGCGCACCACTTTTTGACTTCACTTTAAAAGGACCACACAAATCATAGTGTACTAGCTCCAGTAGCTCAGACTTTCTTGAAGGAGGATGACTGTGAAAATAAACTCTTTTCTATTTCCCAGCTAAGCAATGAACACATCTTTTTACCTTTGCTTGTTTCACACCAGCAAGCAAATTCTTCTTAGCCAAACAGGTGACCCCCCTCTCATTCATATGACTAAGTCTCTTGTGCCACAATTCTGATAAAGTCTCGCTTTCAACCAAATTTATAGAGTCTCCAAGAATCGATCCTTGTGTCACATATAAATTTGAATGATTTCTTCATCGAGCTACAATCAATGAGCCTTTGGTGAGCTTCCATTGGCCATTAAACAAGTCATTATGATAGCCATCATCCTCTAGTTGTCCTACAGAGATCAAATTCAAGGGAATGTCTAGAGCATGCTTGACATTCTGAAGGACTAACATTGAACCAGTATTGGTTTTCAAATAAACAGTGCCAACACCAAACACCTTAACCTCACCAGCATTACCCATCTTTAACACCTCAGAGTTAATAGAAGTATAAGATGAAAAAAAAAAAAAAATCTCAGTGTGACATATGATGTAGCTCCAGAATCTACTATCCAACTTGTATCTTGAGATACAAAATTGATGCGTCTTTATCACAAGCAAAAAGAAGGTCATCTTGAACAACATCAATAACATTGTTTCCATTATTTTCTTCCTTCTTCCCTCTTTAAGATCTTCCTTCAATTGTTTGCAAAATCTTCTAATATGTTCTTTCTTTCCACAATGATGGCATATAATATTTGGATTCCTGAATCTTGACTTGCTTCTACTTTTACCTCTACTCTTTGTATCTCTTGTCTTATCTCTCTCTCGATCTTCTGTGTACAAAACATCTGAATGTGAGGATGTGCCTTGGGATTTTCTTCTAACTTCTTCATTCAACACACCACTTTTTGCATATTCCATAATCACCTTACCACCATGAGCAGAATTTGTTAAAGAGACACGAAGAGTTTCCCAAGAATCCGGTAGAGTATTAAGAAGCCAAAGTCCTTGTATTTCATCATCAAAATTAACACCCATTCCTGATAGCTGATCAAGAAAACCTTGAAAATCATTTATGTGATCAAGAATAGGACTGCCCTCCTTATATTTAAAGGTCATCAATTGCTTTAGTAAGAACAACTTGTTATTGCCAGTTTTTGAAGCGTAAAGCGTCTCCAACTTTTCCCACAATGTTTTAGCATGTGTCTTAATCACAATATGATTGCGAACATTATCTTCAACCCATTGCCTTATATATCCACATACTTGTTGGTGCTCAAAATCCAATTTTCATCAGTCACAGTCTCAGGTTTATGAGCAACAAAAACGGGAAGATGTATCTTCTTCACGAAAAGTAGATATTTCATCTTGCTTTTTCATATGTTGTAGTTTCTCCCGTTTAGACATACCATTTTTCTCATATTCCCCTCCATATAAAGAGCCTAACTCTGATACCACTTGTTGTGACGAAAAGATGAAAATGAAAATCTAAAATAAAGAACACCAAGTTTAACGTGGAAAAAACCTTCAAAACGAAGGTAACCACCACGGGATTGACAAGATCCGAATTGCTTTACTATAACAATAAGAGAGTTACAATTATTCTTCTAATGGCTACACAACAAGTGCCAAAAGAAAACAAACAATAGCGACACTAACAAAAGATAAATAGAAAGAAACACCACCCAAACCCAGCTTCTGTTCGGGACCTAAAACAGGATCTTGCTGACTTTCAAATCCGATCGTCACCGTTCAAATCAACCACCAAGATGTCAGGAACACTCAGTCCAAATTTCAGTCCGATCCAACGGTTAGGTAATCGGAAAACACGATCTAAAGGTTGCTAGTCGAAATAAAAAAACTGCATCAAAAGAACCATTTTTTCTTCTCTGTTATCTCTTGTTGAAAGCTCTCTCAAAAACTTCTCTTATGTCCTAATGTCCTTCAAAGACAATACTAATGAGCAATCTCAATTATTCTCTCAAAACCATCCTCTATTTATAGAGTTGTGCTTTTCCTTACAAAGCCAAAACCAACTCCAAATAGGATTACTATTCCAATCATTTTCCTAATAGAATTGGAAACCAAATAAAGAGAATAATTCCAATCCTTTTTCAAGTAGGGTTAGGCCATGAGTCTTTGGCTGGAACATGAGCAATAGCCCAACAGACACGTGGCATTTTAATTTAAAATAATTATAAAAATAAATTTTGAATATAATAAAATCCTAAAAGAAAATACTTTAAACTAAAAAAATTAAAAATTATACACCCCCTAACCCCACTCCCACCCCTGCACCCCACCTACCTCAAACCTCTCCATTTCTTCTATTTCCCTAACAGAACTACCTTGTCCACCATTGTTAACCTTCATTTAGATAAATTAGAGGTTTTGACATATATTATGTATGAATTTATTATTTTTATTTCTCTTTATGCCTTCTTTCTTATTTCCATTTAAATTGATAGTGTTTTCTTAAAAGATTCGTTTTTTTTTAACTTCAAATTTATTTTTTTCTGTTCGATTTGTGAGGAAGAAGGGATGTGTGTGGGGAGAGGTGAAGAGGGAGAGAGAAAATATTTAAATAATAATCTCTATTTTTTTCGGCAAAGAAGATATAGATGGTCTCCATTTTTTCCGGCAAAGAAGACGTAGATAATAATCTCCATTTTATTTGATAAAGAACTAGTGATCTCCATGTTTTTTCTACGGAAGTGACAGTAAGATGATTTAAAAAAAGAAAGAAGGAAATTTGTGGGGGAAAAAATGGTGACGGATTGTATTGAAGAAGTGGTTGCAGTAGGTGTGTGGTTTTAAAAGAGAGGAAGAAGAAAAGGATTGTTAATTTTTTAAAAAAATAATGAGAAATAAAAAGAAAATATTGAAAAAGAAAAGGAAAAATGTTAAAATATTGATTTCACGCGCTTACCAAGATGTGAATTACACTTTTTTGTGTCACATCTGTAAAAGTGTCAAAATGGTTCAAATTCGAGAGGATAGAGGTGTTCAATAGGTACTAGTCCTAGTTGAGGTGTCTAAGTGAATTATGCAGATAACTTTAAGGGATCGCAGATGACTTAAGCCATAAAGATATATACATCACTTTTTCAACAAGTTAAAAGGTATATCTGTCTCTTTATCCTTGTAAAAATGATATATACAATTTGTCAGTTTAAAATCAAATTAAATCAAATTCGAAAAAAGTATCTAATTTAATGAACTTGAATTTTTAATCAAATCATGAACCCCCATAAAGATTAATTAGTTAACTAGAATTCTAAACCAACTTAATCACAGAGCCCTTTTGTCATGACCCAAATTTGAGATCTAGAGCGCGACAGGACACCTAATAATTAAACCACCCCCATAATGCCAGGATTTTCATAATAAAAAATGTCAACAGTTATAATAGAAAAATAATTATGAGGCCAACAGGGGTGTTAATGGTTATAGTAGAACATGCAATCTCAAGAAATTTTTACAATACCACTAGACTAAACTTTTAACTTTTGTTAATAATAGGTCTCAATACTTGTATATATATTTATTAAATCAAAATTTGATTTCTATATATAATGTAATTTTCTGATGAAGGGGTATCGCTTGACACTCCTTAATCAAGGGCGGATCCATTCCTGCTAAACAACACAGATTGAACGGACCAATAATAAAACTTGATTTTTTACATTACTACATAAATATTATTTTCTAATAATGTATTTTATACTCGGATGAATTATTGATATTTCTCTACTATTATTATAGAAATATTTACTAGCTAGGCTGGCTGACTAACTTGACTGGTCGACTACCAAAAACAGGACAAGAATTTTATATCGGTCTAGTGGTGGTTACTGGTTAGCCATTATTCTCTAGTCTTTACAAATACATTAAAGTTTCTGCATCAATTCAATACTACTTACAAATTAATTTAATACTCCTAATGGAGCCGTGGCACGACTTTAGTGGAAAAATAGTGATGGTGACCCGTGCGTCATCAAAAATCGGGCTAGAGTTCTGTCTCGACTTGGCCAATGCCGATTGTAGCATCATTGCTGCTGCTCGTCGTGTTGACAGACTGAAATCTCTATGCGATGAGATTAATTCAAAAGGCCACGGACGTGCATTTGCCCTCAAACTTGACGTTGCTGCTGATGGTGCTACAATTGAGTCCGCTGTACAAATAGCTTGGGATGCCTTTGGGCATATCGATGTCTTGATTAACAACGCTGGCATTAGAGGTACTTGATCAGTATTTTTTTTATAAATTACTAGTAACTGTGTCACGTAAAACGAGAAAAAATGAATTAATTTATAGGTAGTGTGAGCTCTTCATTGGAATTAACGGAGGAAGAGTGGGAGCATACTTTAAACACAAATCTAAAAGGGGCATGGTTGGTGTCAAAATGTGTTTGTAGACGAATGTGCAATGCTAAACAGGGCGGAAAATCTGTTATTAATATCTCTTCAGCTGCAGCATTGAATCGGGTAGTATACAAAGGGAGTCTTGCTTACTGTTAAAATAAGTATTGTAAATAATTAGTTGGTTAGTGAGTTTGTTAAGTCAGTTAGAGGTTGTTTAATTACTGTTGATTAGTTAGACATTGTATATAAATAGTGACTCATTGTGTATGATGGACTAAGTCGGTTAAATCAATTCACTTTATATTCCCCTTTCTTCTTCCCTCTTTCTGATAACTGCTCTAAAATGGCTAGATGATAACATTCAACATGGTATCAGAGCCTCAGGCTATTACGGAGATCTAGTTAATACAGAGAACACAAATTCCGCTGCAAAATTGGAAGAACAGTTGAACGCCGACCTTAGATTTTTTCTGCAAATTAGCTCACCGGAGAAGATCGAAGAATGGTGAATACAGTCGACTCATCGGAGGAGCGAAATACTCCAAATCGAGAGCAAATTCACAAGTTTACTGACATTCATCCCAGGAATCCTCTGTACCTTCATCCGTCTGATACTCTAAGTAGCATTTTAGTCTCTCAACAGCTTACTGGTATTGAAAACTATACTGGTTGGAGTAATTCTATGAAAGTATCACTTTTAGCAAAAAATAAAATTGGATTCATTGATGGAAAGTGTCGCAAGGTTGATTACAAAGGAGATCTAGAACATGAGTGGGAGAGGTGTAACGCCTTTGTATTATCGTGGATTACCAATTCAGTTTCGAAAGAACTGGCAAATGGATTGATGTTTTCATCCAATGCACATAATATCTGGAAGGATCTAAAGGAGAGATTTGATAAAAGCAATTTGACTAGAATATATCAACTGCATCGTGAAATCAGCACCATGAGTCAAGGCACCTTTACTGTTTCTGAATATTATTCTAGATTAAGAAACCTTTGGGACGAATATGTGTCACTAGTTCCTTTACCAGCATGTGAATGTGACAAATATAGAGTTTATGCAGAACATATGGAGAGACAAAAACTTATGCAGTTTTTAATGGGACTTAGTGATAGCTTCGCTCAGTCGAGAAGCCAGATTCTTATGACTATTCCTAGTCCAAGATTGAATCAAGCTTACAATATGATAATGCAAGATGAGAGCCAAAAAATGCAGTCTAGCTTGATATCTAACTGTGTGTTGCCTTTGAAGAAATTGGATGTTCATGATCCTACAGTTTTAGCTTCAGTACAAAGCAACAAATTCCAACCAGACACAGGAGGAATATACTGTGATCACTGTCATCTAAGAAATCATACAAGAGCTAATTGTTATAGGTTGATTGGCTATCCACAAAATTACAAGTTCCAAAGGAAGAAAGGTGCTGATGATAGGGGCTACAGGGGACAGAACTATGCTAATAATAGGATGCAGAATCTGAGGGTAATAGAAGAGCTCAGGTCAATAATGTGAATTGTGTTGAAGGCCTTGATATGGGAAGAAACCCTGCTCCTGACATTCCACATTTTCAGCCTGCACCATGTTTTACTGCTGATCAATACAATCATTTGATGAAATTAATTGATAAAGAATTTTCATCACAGGAGCCTGTTGCCAACATGGTAGGTATACATCATAACTTTTCCTCAACATTCAGTACATTCAATGCTTGTTTTCCTACAGGTGATGATGCAACTCCTTGGATTGTGGACACTGGAGCCACTCATCATATGGTATCTAGTTTGGATACACTACTTCATCCAACTCTTGTTCCTTCAAACTCTAACCAAGTACATTTGCCAAATGGTCAAACCACCCTAGTCACTCACACTGGATCTGCTTCACTTTTTGCCAATACTGAAGTGAAAAATGTCCTTTATCTTCCTCATTTTACTTACAATCTATTATCCATTTCCAAACTTACAAAGGAATTGAATTGCTGTGTCTGTTTCTATCCTGATTTCTATCTTTTTCAGGACCTCTGCAATGGCAAGGTGAGGGGGATTGGTAAGGAAGCAGGAGGTCTCTATATACTTCCATCCACCAAGAAACCATCACCTGCCACTGTACTCCAACATTCTTCTGCATTACATGCATCATCTTCTTAATTACCAGATGTAGCTTCCATCTGGCATCAGAGACTTGGTCATGCTCCTAATACTATACTGCAGAAGATTGCATCTCTGAAGCCTCATATGCAGAGTTCAGTTTTTTCTTCTTGTCCTATATGTCCTCTTGCAGGACAAACTAGACTCTATTTTCCCTCTAGTACTAAGAAAACTGTATCCCCTTTTGAACTACTTCACATGGATGTTTGGGGACCCTATAAGCAATGCACTTATAATGGTCATAGATTTTTCCTTACTATTGTTGATGACTATTCTAGAATGACTTGGATTTTCCTGTTAAGATTCAAAAGTGAAGTTGTTACTTTTATTACAGCTTTCTTAACTCTCATTAAAACTCAATTTTTAGCTTCTGTCAAAATAATTAGGTCTGATAATGGTCTTGAATTTGTCAACAACCAATGTAATAGTTTTTTTTCTTCTCTTGGTATAATTCATCACACCACTTGTGTCCATACTCCTCAGCAAAATGGCATTGCTGAAAGAAAGCACAGACATCTCCTTGAGATAGCACGAGCGCTCAGATTTCAAGCTCATGTGCCCTTAAAGTTTTGGGGAGAATGTGTACTTACAGCCACATTTCTCATCAATCGACTTCCCTCTTCTGTTTTGGGGGGCAAATCACCTTATGAACTCTTTCACAACAAAGTTCCCCTACTCAATCATTTGAAAGTGTTTGGATGCCTTTGTTATGCCACAAACACAGCTCAGTCAGATAAATTCTCTCCCAAAGCCATTCCCTCTGTGTTCATGGGTTACTCTGACACTCAGAGAGGTTACAAACTATATAACATTGCTTCAGGTTCTTTCTTTGTCAGTAGGGATGTTTCTTTCAAGGAATCTATTTTTCCCTTCAAACATCTTAAATACACCTTTTTAGATTCTACATCTCCCTCCCATACTTGTTTATTTCCTCCTTCACAGTCTGCTTTTTCACTTCCCACTGATGATTGCTTCCCCTCTCATGCTTCATCTCCTACTTCTACCAATCCTTCCCCACCTTTCTTATTACCTGCTATAGTTCCGGATCCTTCTACCTCCATTTCTCCTTCTCCTGTCATTCCTCAGAGAAGGTCCTCTAGATCAGTCAAACCTCCTACATGGCACACTGATTATGTCACCACCTCCAAAACTCCTTATCCCATTTCCTCTTCTATTTCCTATACCACTATCAACTCTTCCTATCAATCCTATCTTTCAGCTTTTTCTTCTTTTATTTCTGAGTCTTCCTCTTTTGAACAAGCTGCCCAATATAGTGGCTGGATCCAGGCTATGGACCAAGAAATTCAAGCTCTCCGTGATAACCATACTTGGGAGATTGTTGATTTGCCTGCAGGTAAGACTCCTATTGGATGTAAATAGGTGTACAAAGTTAAGTACAAGGCTGATGGGAGTGTCGAAAGGCTCAAGGCCAGACTTGTGGCTAAAGGCTTCACCCAACAAGAGGGACTTGATTATCATGATACATTCTCTCCTGTTGTAAAGATGGTAACTGTAAGATGTGTCATTGCCTTAGCTGCTTAGTTTAATTGGTCCCTTTTACAGATGGATGTATACAATGCCTTCCTCCAAGGTGACCTCTTTGAAGAAGTTTATATGACTCTACCACCTGGTTTCGGCAGCCAGAGGGAGACTAAGGTTTGCAGGCTGCTAAAATCATTATATGGCTTGAAGCAAGCCAGCAGACAGTGGAATTTGAAACTCACCACTGCACTTACACAATCAGGCTTTACTCAAAGTAAATTGGACTATTCATTGTTTACAAAAAGAGATGTTACTGGTGGCATTGTGATCATACTTGTATATGTGGATGATCTTTTGATCACTGGAAATAATAAGGGATTGATTCAAGAGGCCAAAGATATTTTGCATCATAACTTCAAAATGAAAGACTTAGGACAGTTAAGGTACTTCCTTGGCATTGAGTTTGCAAGATCCAAGAGTGGAATATTGATGAATCAAAAGAGATATGCTTTAGAATTGGTGTCAGAATGTGGTCTAGCTGGAGGAATCACAACTCCTCTTGAACAGAATTAGAAACTCACAAGTCAGGAATATGATCATTGTTTCAACATTACAGATAATGAAGAATTAGAGGACAGAAGAATGTATCAAAGGCTAATTGGGAGATTATTGTATCTAGCTATGACAAGGCCTGACATTTTCTTTGTTGTACAACATCTAAGTCAGTTCATGCATGCTTCAAAAAATCACATTATGATGCAGCATTACATGTGGTGAGATACATTAAAAATCAGCCTGGTTTGGGATTGTTGATGAGCAGTAAGAAATCAGGAAAGATCAATGATTTTTGTGATGCAGACTGGGCATCCTGTTTTTTGTCCAGAAAATCAGTGACAGGTTTTGGGATCAAACTTGGTGAATCTCTGATATCATGGAAATCAAAAAAACAAAGCACAGTTTCAAGAAGCTCAACAGAGGCAGAGTACAGGAGTATGGCAACAACAGTGGCAGAACTGGTTTGGCTGCAAGGTTTACCGCAAGAACTTGGAACACAAGTTGAATTGCCTATGGAACTGCACTGTGACAATAAAGCTGCAATGCAAAATGCCTCTAATCCCATGTATCATGAACGTACAAAGCACATAGAGATAGATTGTCACTTTATTAGAGAAAGGTTATAAGAAGGCCTGATCAAGACAAAATATGTGGCGAGCAAGGAGCAGATGGCAGATATCTTCACCAAAGCAGAAAACAACTACATACTGATATGTTGTTCAAGTTGGGAATGCTGGACATATTCCATCACCCAACTTGAGGGGGAGTGTTAAAATAAGTATTGTAAATAATTAGTTGGTTAGTGAGTTTGTTAAGTCAGTTAGAGGTTGTTTAATTACTGTTGATTAGTTAGACATTGTATATAAATAGTGACTCATTGTGTATGATGGACTAAGTCGGTTAAATCAATTCACTGTTATATTCCCCTTTCTTCTTCCCTCTTTTTGATAACTGCTCTAAAATGGCTAGATGATAACATTCAACACTTACGCTTCTTCAAAGATGGCTCTTGACATGGTCACTAAGGTAGGGAGCCTCTACTTAAAATTATACTTTGCAAATGGAATAAAAATATCTTTTATTCATATAATCTAGGTGAAACTATCTTATTAAACATATACATCCTTACTCTATATACTATATATTAATTCTACCTATGCTTTCAAATAATTATGTATATTATCACTATTTAAGAGCTTTCTATCATATATTGGGAATGATATACTTAAATTCATGTATGTTTGCTACCAGATACACTAAAAAATAGATGGAGAGAGAAGCGAGTGAGATCGTCATGTGTCATGTATCCCAGATACATGCGAATCACACCAAACATGTATTTGGTGTAATTTGCATGTATCTAGTATGATTTGCATGTATCTGGAATACCAGATACATAGGAGAGTGGTGAGTGAAATTTTGTTATGTATCCCCGATACATGCAAATCAATATGAATACCATGTATCTAAATTTTGACCACATGTATCTCAAGATATATATATTTGGATGCACCGAAATTTGATTAGATCCGTAATATTACAAACTAGAGTGTATCTATGTAATTAACTTCTAAACTAATGGAAATTCTATAAGTCTCCCTATAATCTAATGATGAATTGCAGATAATGGCTATTGAGTTGGGAGTAGATAAGATCAGAGTAAACTCAATATCTCCAGGATTTTTCAAGTCTGAGATAACAGAGGGGCTTTTTAAACTCAAAGGGCTCCCTAAGTTCCTTTTGAAGACTGTTCCTCTGAGATTTATTGGAACGACAGATCTGGGTTTAACATCACTGGTTCGATACCTAATCCATGATTCTTCCAAATATGTAACGGGAAATGTTTTCATTGTCGATGGTGGATCAACCGTAGTAGGTGTTCCCATCTTCTCATCCTTGTAGAATTTGAACAAGGCATCAAGTTCAAATTATAGATTCACACCTACTATTTATTGTAATTTTAATGAATTTAATCATATAAATTTATGTTTTACGTCAAAATGTTGAATTCAAATGAATCTGCAACTAAATAATATAATTTGTCCGGTTACATCTATAGAAGCGAGAATCTAGTATTTATCACCTTCAATGGATCATCCTTGAATTATGATGTATCTTTCATACTATATTATTTTGTGGACAAAGTCACGATAACAAAAATAACTTTTCGTGACAATAAATATACACATTAACAAAAAATGTTAAATGTTTTTATCAATTTTAGTTAATTGTTATTCGATTCAATGCAGCTATAGGCTTCAATGGTTATTACGTACAAAGAGTGCCAAAATGAAATTATCACTAGTAATTGTCTCTAAAAAGTATATATATTTAACAGCAATTAAGTTATTACCGTTAATTAATTATTGCTACAGATCTTTTTTATTTAATGAGTTTAGATAAATATATTATTTAGTCACTTCGTGTATCATTTTACTTGTATATACATTATTATTTTTGACAATAATTGGACACCCTAACAACTACGTAACCCCGCCGCTGAGTGTAGTGAGGCACTTTGAATAGGCAAGAGTGTAGTGAGCCACAATTTTTAATTGTAGGATATATGTGAGCTATTTTTGTAATAGTAGAGGTATATGTGAGCTATTTTTATAACTATAGATGTAATGTGATCCACTTTTATAACAGTAAGTGTATATGTGTATCATTTTTATAACGAGAGATATATCAATTTTAAATTATAAAATTGAAGAATATATCAGATAGTTTTTCCTTTATATATTGAAACACAATTTTCATTGACTACACATGAGCCTATACCGAGAATTATAGGTACTAAGAAAGAGACAATCAAAGTGGAGAAGGGAATAGGAATTATAGTATCATTGGAAAAAAAGAAGAAGATATTTATGAAAATATCTCTACTGATGAATCATTTTAATAGTAAGGGTGTTGTTGAGCCACGAGGCACGACGGAAACAAATTATCTCCATATAGCTTCGGTTGAGTGTGCAAATAAAAGTCTTTGTGTTGCACTAGTTGAAAAGAAAAAAAAAACATATTTTTAATGAGAGGAGAAATTTTGACAAATTCGTAGTAAAATTTTTAACCATAGCAACGTGATAGACTAAAATTTCAAATGAACTTGCACAAGATCTAATTTCCAATGATCACAACTCCTAAAATGTATGGTGAATTATGTATCAAATGAAAAAGGCTTGGTCTAACTTTCAATGATTCAAACTTTCCTTCATTAAATTTGAACTTTTCTAAATAATTTTATGGACCCATTCCTAAAGAAAAATAGAATATTCTTTATATTTATCATAAATATACCATTTAATTTGATCTCAACTTATATTTATATTCTATAATTTTGGTGTGAACAAATAGACACTTAAATTTGTATAAATTGAACAAATAGACACATTTGTCCTACGTGATATTCTACATGAAAATTTTGTGTATCCTACGTGATGTGACATGTGTATTATGTCACACAATGTATGTATGTATCTATTTGTTCCATTTTATATAGATTTAAGTGGTACTTATGCACACCTAAAATTTAAAGACATAAATGTCAAGTGAAGTAAAATAAAATGACATATTTATATTTTATGTCTGGTTTATAAGTCTTAACTTTGAAATTTCAAAAGAAAACTACAACACACAAAAGTCTAATTCCAATTTTTGATGTTACTCTCTTTTAGTCACTCATAGAATCATAGTGGATCTCATTTATTATCCTCTACATGGACAGCTCCTCTTGAAAAGCAAGACGAGAGGGAGTTGCTCGGATGGTAAACATCCCTCACTTTCAATTCAAAGGTTGCGAGTTCGAGTCACCAAGGGAGCAAAAGGGGTGGAAGCTCCTAGGGAGGGTAAAAAAAAAAATCTTTCTTGAAAAGCAAAAAGATAAAGTCCTTGCACGAGTTTTGACCTAGAAATTTCAAACATAATATCTATTTCACCCTTAATATTTTCAATTATTCTTAAAATTTTATCTATAGTTTAATTAATATTATATTTTAGTATATATTTTTATTTAAGTTTATTAATATATTAATTATAAAAATTCTTTTATGAATTTTATTACAAAATCTAACGCTAATTTTTATTATTGTTATTTTAACATTATATACATTAAGTATTTATTTATATAGTGTGTGCGTGAGTTAGTGTACTCTCTCTTATTTATTGTCTACGTAGATAAATAAATTTTAATTGACATTACACAAATATTTTTAAAATTCATTTACAATATAAATAAATATTTTTTTAGAAATTTATTTATTCTAAAATATATTTCTACTTTTATAATATTTTGTATTACCCACATTGAAGTATATGTTGATGAGGTAATATCTTTCTGTTATTTTACTCGATATAAGAATTTCGATTATTATCAATAAAATTAATTTTCTTATTTTGCTTATTTATTTTATTATAGAACATCATTAACTTATATATACAATTAATATTTTTTTTCAAAACTTTTTTTCATAGTTGAGCAGGAATTTGAAATTTTTAAAAGCAATGTTTAAAGTTGTAAATGATGTCACCTGTTATTTAATTATAAGTGTTTTTATATATAATTTAAATTCATATTGCCTTATTGATTATTTCAAGGACAACAGAGAGTGAATGTATTTTTGTTACAAAATGATGCATATATACTTTCATTGTCTAACAAATGATAATTCTAAAACTGATTTTTTAATTTCAAATTGTCATATGACTTTATAAATTACTTCACTCATTTTTCTTCACCCCACTAAGTCCAATCCAATTTTATTTTTATTTTTTATAAATCAATTTCTCCTTTATTCCGGCCCGACTCAAATCCATTTATAACTGAGAGACTGAATCTTTTTATTTGGGTCAAACCTCACTACATAAAAATATCATTAGCGGCAATTAATTAACGACAATAGCTTAATTATCGTTAAATATATATTTTTAACGGCAATTAGCACTCTTTGTATATGTCCCTAAAGCTTTTAGCGACATTGGTTCTAATGACACTTAACTAATACTGGTAAAGAATTTAGCACTCTTTATTAATGTCTATATCGATTGCCGCTAAAAATTGATTTTGTTGTAGTGACTGGAGGGGTAAAAAATACGTGAGATAATACCTTGTGACATTTTTTTAAATTAAAAAAAAACTGTTTTTGAATTATTTTCTTTATTTCAGTTTATTAAACAAAAAAGATAAAATATGCCTCATTTGTTAGACAAATATGCACCACTTTTTAATGAGGGATATATTTGCTCTAAATTTTAACGTTGAGATGGACAAATTCACTTGTTTGAAAAATTAAGTTGTTTGACTAAGTAAAAATTGGTTTTAATTGCAAGTAGATGGAGTTTTCTGTTGTTGGAAAGAAACTTAAAAAAAATTGTTTCTTAAAAAAAGCACAGAAAATTATTTTTTCAAAAGCAAACTATCCTAGTCATATTTACATATTTACTAATATATCTCTTACATGTATTTATTTTTGTGGTGAATTTTTATATGTAGTGATTTCATTTTTTGAATGATTTTTAAATTTATTTATTTGATATTTTTAATTATATTTAAATTATTATGTTAATATTATATCAATACTTAAACTTTTATTTATTTATCAATGTTTAATATTGATTGAAAATCTGAATATGTAAAATTAATTTGATAAAAAATATTAATTAAATTTTTATGTTCTTTATCTTCTTTAAAAAAAAATGAAAATGTACAATTAATTTAATAAAAACAAAAAAATAATTAATAATTCTATAATAGATATCTAAACTAATTTATCTGTATAAAATGATCTTAATATTAATAGTTATTCTTTTTTCTTCATAATTTGACTCTCAAATGCACTTTTTAAAAATGATTAGTCAAATACAATTTGTTTATCAAAAGCACTTTCAAATTAATTAGCCAAACACAAATTATTATTTTTTCAAAAGCATTTTCTTAAAAAGATATTTTTTTTAAAAATATTTCTTAAATAAGATATTTTTAACAAAAATGCTAAACAAGCTCTAAATTCAAAAAAAGGCAACTATGAAAAAAGAATGGAAAAGTACATGGTTTCTAAAGTCATTGCAATCTTGGCATGGGAATTTCATATGAAAGCTACAACACACAAATAGTGTTATTTGGTTTACAAGTTGTACTTTTTACTCATTAAGTAAGTGTATATACCTTTACTACAATGTCAAGCAGCATGTGTTAATTATATTATATCCACTCAAATAGTCTTATTTGGTTGGCTGTAGCCTATAGGCAAACCAAAGTCTTGAAAGTGCACGGGTGTATTGAAAGTGATTTAAAACCAAATCAAGTTGGAAGCTACATAGGACTAGTTGTCAATAGAACCAAATCTAGGAATTAACCTCTTAATCCATCCCCCTCAGAGTAATAACTCTCTTACCCAACAAACTAAGCAATAACTCTATTGCTCACTAAACCAATTAACTCTAGCTAAGCTTCAGAATTGTCAACAAATATTGAAACAGATCTAATTCCTTTATAACTTAGGAATAGATCTTACAAGAATAAGCACTGAAATATAAACCCTAACAACAACTAAGAACGATGATAACTCAATTAGGTAAGGCTTAAAACATGTCATTAGTTAGTAAGGCCTTAAAACGCGTCACTAGTTGGTAAGACTTGCTTACTTATACCCAACATCTCTCATGTGCTTTGTCGACGTGAGACTTCTTATTTTAAGTTGGGGTGACACATACACCCTCTCTATGGACTCAACATCTTTGCTGAAGTTTTCCCCACTACATGATATTTGCCTAGACTTAGTACTATTGATGTTTGCTCCGCCTTATCAAGATTTATCTTAACTTAGTTGAACTCTGGCCCATGGGCGTAGCTATAGCTACCCAGGGTGTTCAGGGCTCAGATACCATTCGTAACAGCCCAACCCTCTAGTAGTGATATTGTTCGCTATGGGCTTAGTCCCGCACAACCTTATAAAAACGATCACTAGCTAGTTGATAAGACTTGCTTACTAAT